CACATATTGATACAACAAATTGTTTTTAATGGAAAGTCAGCTAGAGGCGATGGCAGGATTGCCTTTTGTTGCTACTATCTGCGAGGAGAAGAGGGTTATCTTCAGATCACATTTTCCATGAGGCATCTCAGTTTAGAGAGAGAGCACACGCGGCGTTTTACCTTTGAAAACGGGCCCTTGAAAACGGACAGAGCCGCTACAACCGCCTTTTGATGTTCCACTGCACATATTATCCTGTTATTAGACACTATGTATTATTTATTCACCTGGCAAAAGGCAATTAATCTGTTTGACGACAAGCGCAGAGGTCGAGAAGAATGATCCTGATGAAATATGTTTTCCGTTTCTATGCTGTCAGCGTCAGCGCGGTGAAAAGACATCGGCGCAGGTTTCCAAGGCATCGTGGGATTTCAAAATCGCACCGTGAGCGCGTGACAAGCACACAGCGTGAAGAAACGCCTTTATTTAATCGCTTATAGGCCTCCTTCATGGCGTGGCCATTGAAATTTCCATGATTGCCGAAGACACACGGGTCTCCACCCTCGAGCAGATTTATTTTCACACATGCTGGGTGAGGTGTCTGCCATTCTTCCCGGCCCTGTCATTGTTTGTTCTGTACTTGAGTGTGAATACGAGCAGAGGCCAGTCAGAAAATATAGCCTTGTTTAAGGGCTTCTCCTGCTCCGCTGAGTGCCGTTCGCTGACGTCACACTAGCGCAGCGCTTTCCAGACGTCTGTGGTCCGTCTATCGGTGGGGTGAGGAGCAGACCTCGAGGACCTGCAGTCAGAGTCAGAACTTTCGGCTGTGTGACGTATTCAAAAATTTGGAAAATAAATGCTAATTATTCTCCCTGATTCCGACTTATTCAAACATTCATTACGCACCGTAAGAGGTTTCTTGACAGTTCTCAGGGCAATGCATTGGTGTTAATAAGTTAATGGTAGAAGACTTAAGGTCTTATTCTGTGTTGTGTTCAGCTAAATTGCACATGACGTGCGTGACTATGTTCTGTGAAGTCATAACTATGTTTTCTTGAACTGGTCTCTCTCTCTAATTACGCCTGTGCTTATGTTGTATTTTTTGCACACATACTTTTTGAACTCAGAACAGCAACTCTGTGATCACCTGGACGTACACCAATAACAATATGTTAAGATGAATGCAGACTTTCCAATGTGTGCTCCACATTGACTTCAAACGGACGCATACGCAATGAACTCCGTGTGCAGACACTGAAGCATGCAGGGAATGAAATGACAATCCTATCAAACGCAGCACTGCATCGTCCTCCAGTGTAGCAAAAAGGTCAAAGGCACAGATGGCAAAACAAACAATCTCTCCATTCCTCTTCCTCACACACACAAACACACACACACACACACACACACCTCCGAAATGAATCACCCTCCCAAGTGCTTGGTATCATCAGCATTCCCTGAACCAGCTGCGACCGCAGAGCACAACTGCATGACATGAGAGTCTCAGGGGTCAGATGAAATGTGCACTCTAAGTGCCACTTCATCCTCAAGGCAAAACAGCGAGCGGCAGCTCAAGAGCCAACTCAAATAATGCCGCATTGTGTCGGCCTGTGAGCTCCTCGCGGCAGTTATCGCGCCTTCGTGGTGGTCCGTTGTGAAGCAAGCTTTCTTTTGCACTTTTCTGCCACCACGCATGACTTCTCTCTCTCTCTCTCTCTCTCCTCCGGGACCTACTGTCTTTTGACGTAGACCACCACCGGGGCTTTGTGGAATGCACCTCCACCACGCTCTGCTGACAAACACCTCTGAGGCGAAGAGTCGGCCTCAACCTGCTCATAGGAGCTCTTCGCTTTTACGCGGGGAGGGGTCGGGGGGGGGGGGGGGGGGTAAAGGTTTTTGGATCAGAAGCCGATACTTTGACGGCCGTAAGAATGAGAGGAGAGCGAACATGTGTGATGGAGGAGAGGAGGTCAGCGTTGGACGCAGCTCAACCCACACCCATGTCCCAGAAGGCCCTGCAGAGAGGGAGTCTGCATTACGTAAAGGGGGGAGAGAGAGCAGGTGGTGCTGCGTAGCACACAAAGCCTTTCTACGACGCCTGTGATCAAAAGTCCTGCCGGGATCTTACAGTCCACGGTTAAATGCTCCGGTGGCTCTGGGGCCCCATGACATGAAGAAAAAGTTTCAGGGCATTCTGTAATGGGGAGACTATTACAGCGCTTGTCACGCATTGTGTTTGCCGGCCACGTCAGACGATGAAGGCAGGTCGTAAATATTTCGGAACAAAAGGAAGCAGCGTCGCTCTGGAGGTGGAATTGATGGGGTGTTTTAGACATGCACACTAATAGGCCGAGATCACTGCTGATAGTGACGTTAGCTGGGATTAGTCTTTCATCCGTTTCTCTGCTGTTATTTTATCTGAGAAAGACAATTTGTGAATCATGAAAGTCTATGTTCAAACAAGTGTAACTACCACTCTAATTGGACACCTTGTTGTTCACGCAAACTCTCAAGCCTAAATATGCCTGGATGCAGATTTTAACATTGCTATTGAGCTCAAAATACAAAAACATTTGACTGAATGCTCTTTAGTTTAATTCTTTAGTTTGATTCTCTTACGAGCAATTGTAAAAGATCGTTTGTGAGCCGCTGAGTTATTTGTCTCACAGTGCCTCCCATTGGTGACCGCTGCAACGTGCATCTCGTTTTACCCCCAAATGTCAAATGTTAAAACACAGACTATTGTTAAGTCGAAATTGAACTGGTTCTGTGTTTGCCACCATATCATTGTTACTGAATTCCTTTAACACACTATTAAGAGCAAAGATCAGCAGAAAATAAATCAAAGGACAGAACAGCAGTGGAGCCGTGTGTCTGGGTAGTAAAAGAAAATGGTAGCTTGTGACCAGTAGACAGCGGTTTCTCCACAACATTGTAGATAACACTCACTCAATTCATCTCACACCTCAGGGAAGGTGGATTCAATTGGTGTTAATAAGGAGTTTTCTGATTACCCCTCAGGGAGACCTGGGAGCAGACAGGATAAACAATGTAGCCGTCATAGGGTTGAACCTGACACCCTGGAGACTTTAACACACAATCCTTTTTACCTCCTCAGTGAGGAACTTATGCATGAAGCACCCGCAGGGTCCGCCTGGGACCTCCAAAGTGTCTGTTCTGGCATATAGAGCAGCCACATATCAATCAGGCGTAGCAGAAGCAGTACACAATACAGGTACAAGATGGCCAGGATGTACTGTACATGTTATTTGTCTCGTTGTCCATCGTCTAATTGTCTTGTTTTCAATGTAAGCACCACCCTCCATGTCAAATTCCTTGTATGTCTAACATACTTTGTCAATAAATGTTCCTAATTCCTGATTACTGGAGTACATAAACCCGCTCACACAGTTCACCTTCCATGATATAAACATGTTGAAATGGTGGGTTTGTAAGTATTTGTTGTTTTTGCTTTCAAGTTACTTTGTCCTGAGGGAGCCTCAGTATCAGTCTAAAAGTTGAGTTGTTCACTATTCACTATGGGGGAAGTTAAGGATGAAAGTAACTGGATGCGCCATTATCACCTTAAAATCTAACGAGAAACAACCCAAAATGATGTAATCCACAGAATGTTTTAATGGAGAAGGTGGATAAGTATTTATATTAGAGTAAATTAACTACAGCAGTTTTCATGGCTTAACCTCAAAGAATGTTGATCCAATTTTCTCTCTTGGGAGGCTAAACAATAAGGATTTCTTATTGTTTTGCACTCCCTGTGTGTGTGTGCATGGGTATGTGAGTGTGTGTGTGTGTGTGTGTGTGTGTGTGTGTGTGTAGTATGTAGAGATGTTGAAAAGAAGCCAGCCTGTTGTGTAACCTACAAACGAAGCACACAGGAGTAAACAAGAACATTTAATTGAAAGATGTACCATTAAAATTACTCTTTGTTTTTTTACAATGCCAAGACATAAAAACGGGTAAGTGTGGTGCAATTACTGAAACCATTCATGTTTCCTATTGATGTACCAGGAATGTTAAACCATAGCAAAAGGTCTATTTTACAAAAAAATAGACCTACCCACATAAAAAGGAGAACAAAAAATCTGCAATAGAATAGATTTTGTTGAAGGTGAAACTATGTTTATGTCCTCGTCAGTTAAATAAGTAATGACTATGAACACATGTTAATTGTCTTCATAGTCATATTTACAGCGTGGCAAAAGCCAAAGGCTCTAGATAATAGTGTTTGAGTTGGTAAGTGGAAAGAGATATTTATTCGGGATTTCGTGTGTGGCTTCAGAAGTTGCATTTTAGAAATTCCAAAAACTGTTCATTAATATGTTGGAGCTTGTGTTGCTTGTTTTCCTCCATCTCCCCACCCTCATAATTTACCAACTTCCTGTGAAAAAGAATAGGGAGATGTCTGTATTTATGCTTGACCTACTTGCTGCAACAGCTTTGGTGGTATGGAGCAGGTTACCAACTAATAGCATTTCTGAGCAAGACGCAGAGCCTTGTCTGTGTATGTCTGTGAAACGGCATCCTAGAATAAGAGATTGCCAAATAAGTTCACTTAATGCTGTATAGATGCAGTGATTGAAGACGATGGCCACATTTTAAAAACCTGTGAAAACACTTACATGTAGATATTATTGTATACCTGCCGGTTTCTTTTGTTGCATCTTAGTTCAGATAAAGAACACCTAACATGCCTATTTTATTGTTTTTATTTTTGAATTATTTATACTGTAAAATGATCATTGTAGAAAATCAACTGCCAGGACACCGGTCTGTCTGCTGGTTGGCGGAGAGTCGCTCGCCGATGTCACTGATGGATGAATCCCAGGAATAGTAGTCGAGCGCCGATAAGATCAGCGGTGGAATAATGGCTCTCTCCAGAGGTTTGAGGTGCTGTCAAAGGGTTTTCTCCTGGATACCTGTTCTTATAATAACCTGCGTGGTATTGTGGTCGTACTACGCCTACGTATTTGAGCTATGTCTTTGTAAGTATGACACGTCGTGTCCCTTTGTTTTGATTTCTTTTGTACCGTTTGATTGAAGACATCGCGGATTGCCGCACCGCAGTGTTGACAAAAATATTGCGTAAAAGCGAGCAGAACAGGCGGAAGTGGTTTAGGATGTGTGCTTTTGTTGAGATAAGGCGACATTCAGCTAATAACAGAGTAAGTCGTTACTATTTTCTCCTCTTAGAGGTTAACGTTGCGGCTGTTGTTTTGTAGCTAGCTAATACCTGTCAATCTGGCTAGTCGTGTTAGCCGGTAGATGTTGTGCCTCTTTGAGGCGACAGATGTCACACTGTTGATCGTCACTGTCAACCCGCTCTGTTTGTTTTTTGTGATGCCGTATTCTTGTCTTTACAGTTACACTCACCAACACACTGGAAAAAGGTGATTGACTCACACATTTATTGTGCAATAAGCGCTGTGCTGCTATAACGTTTTATTACTTTTGTTTTATAGCTGTTTTGTTAAATAAATGTGATGGTTTGTTTGTGCTTGCAGTGGCCTATCTACTGATATTTCATGTTTGCTTTGTGATGTTCTCCTGGACCTACTGGAAGTCCATATTTACCCCTCCTGCATCACCATGCAAAAAGGTATCCTAGGACGAGAGGTGTAACGTCTTGCTCAGGATTTGTCGTAAGGCGTCTTTAATACAAAGTTGTATGCATTGGATCGTGATGTTTGTTGGTATAGTTTCAGCTGTCATACTCGGACAAGCAGAGGTACGAGATGGAAGAGAGGCCGGATGCTCAGAAGCAAATCCTGGTTGAGATTGCAAAGAAACTTCCCATCTTTAGCCGAGCTCAATCTGGAGGTAAATTGTCCTATTTAGTCATTCATATGTTTACTCAGTATGATTCCACGTGGAATAATGCACTTATTTTGGCCATATCTGAAAACCAGAGGAGTAACAAAGGATGTGCATCAGCCATGATGCGTTATCTAGCACATGATCTGTGAGTGTTGAAAAGAAGTTAGCTTTGTGCGTGCGACTCGAGCGTCCCCCGTCCAGAATAATCAGCCAATGCATCTCTTTCATTAGTGCTGATTGCTGAAGACTTAAGTTGTCGGCTACAGGAAGTAGGTGAAGGCTCAGCTCAAATGTCGTTCATTCAACTGGCCATCCTGTTGTCTCTAGCTATCAGGTTCTGCGACCGCTGCCAGGTATTGAAGCCCGACCGCTGTCACCACTGCTCGGTTTGTGAAACGTAAGTCCCTCCGTCCTCCTCGATCCATTCATCTAGACCGTAGAGAGATTTGGCCAAAGCAAGGAGATCTGTGTGAACTGTTGTGATGATTAGAAGGTGTCAGAGAGAATATCCGGTAGACAGACCAGATGTTTAACACAAAGAATGAGATCGCAGTCACACAACATGTAAAGAAGGCTGAAGGAGTTTTGATATGAAAATTGTTGTTTTTTTTTGTTTGTTTTTTGTGAAGGTGTGTCTTGAAGATGGACCACCACTGTCCCTGGTAAGTCACTCAGACGGTAGTTCCTTGTTATAAAGAATCTATGCATCAATTGTGCATCAACAGCCAAATTTCTTTTTCTTTTTAGGGTGAACAACTGTGTGGGCTTTTCCAACTACAAGTTTTTCCTGCTTTTCCTCTCCTACTCCATGCTCTACTGTGTATTCATTGCAGCGACAGTCTTTCAGTATTTCCTCAAATTCTGGGTGGTGAGTTGTCATTGGTCTAAATGATCACTCATCCGTAACACCATAACAGTCACACAACAAACATTTACATTGTCAGCACTATTGCAGTTTCACAAGAACAGAGAACCAAACCCTGTGTCATGAGTCGAATCAACAATTTTCTCAAGTTTCCCGTTCTCCTGTTACTCTCCCACAGGGAGACTTGCCAAATGGGCCCGCAAAGTTCCATGTTCTCTTCCTCATGTTTGTGGCGCTCATGTTTTTCGTCAGTCTCATGTTTCTCTTTGGCTACCACTGTTGGTTGGTGGCCAAGAACAGATCCACTTTAGGTGAGGATTTACACATTTATCAGAGAATCCCTAAGATTCTGCTCACGAAGCTGCTCGCTGCACCTTGATTGTGGGTATTTTGTAAAAGTAGAATTAACATCATATATTCTGATTATTTTTCCCTTGTCTAGAGGCCTTCTCAGCTCCAGTTTTTGTCAATGGACCCGACAGAAGTGGCTTCAACGTCGGCACACGCAGAAACCTGCAGCAGGTATTTGGAGAGGATCGGAGACTTTGGTTCGTGCCGGTTTTCACAAGGTGAGTTTGAGGTTAAGAGGCCTCAAGTTAGGATGCATAATAAACCAGTTCCCCTCCTTTTTCTCATTAATTCAAGGGATGATACTCATTTTATATGAGCAATTTGTGATATATATAATATATATATATATATATATATATATATATATATATATATATATATATATATTAGATGTACTTATATAAAATAAATATTTTGCTAATTTTAGAACCAGAGAACATAATACTACACAAAATACACGTCATTGTAAATAAAATACTGAGTAATGTAATAGAATATATGGGATCTGGGTCGTTGATCGGGTGGACAGTACACAGTTGTCTCTCTGCAGTACACAGAGTTGTTTTATAAGTAGCAGTGTTGTAGCTAATGAACAGAATGTAGAATTAGAACTTGGGGTCTGTGGAGGGGACGAGACAATGTTCATGGTTCCTTAACTAGCTTCGGTTTTCTTTTATACACTGGACACGTCAGCCAAGGGAATGGCCACTACTTCCCCTTAAAGAATCGGACTTCTGAGTCCCACAACCCTTTGTTAGCTAATGAGGACATGTGGGAGGAGTCGGATGATGGTTCTGAGGAAGGAAGCTTGGGTGAGTCCCCTTTTCGTTTTGATGACTCATATTTATACATCACCACGTTCTTTGTTGTTCATTGAATCATTGCCTCATTTTCATATTTCAACACGCCATGGCAGAAAACTGCAAAAAATTGTGAATTGTCATGTGGATATCTTTTAGTTCTGAGATCTCTGCTTCAGTAGCTAACATTACAACTTTCCAATGTGCAGATTTATATTATGAAAATGTATCAAAGTTATTATTGTTTTTTTAACATAGGACGTGATAATCAGCATTTTAATTCACTTGATTTTCTATAATTCCAAAATACAGAATACTTTTTATTTTTATTTCCAAAATTCGAGCAGAACCATCTTAATACCCCGAATAGTCCTTAACTCACCTTTTGTGTAGTCTCAAAAAGTACTCGGCACACACCTAAAAAACGGTAACTAGTCAGTAGAGTCAGCTTCCAGCACTAAACCATAAGCAGTTATAAAACACACTTTGTCCCCTGAATTATAAATAAGGCTTTGACGCGGAAAGTGAAACAAACCAAGAGAAGTGTGTGTTTGCGTTAAAACTAGTGTGTAATCTGAGGCACTACTCTTCCCCCTGCACAACAGTCTGGTTTCTAACAGCGTCATTCTGCTACCACCTTGTGGTCACATGCAACATAATGTCTGTGAGCTGAATCAGCTTCAACAACACTGGTGAAATAACGCACGCTGGCGTTTCTTTGTCTTTGTCTTTCTTTCCAGCTGAGGACCAAGACCCCTCTGTTACCATAGAGATGGAAGAATAGTAATTTTGTTCAAAGGGCAAGCCACACTCGGACGGAGGACATAGATTAACGCCACACGCGTAGTGAAGCACGAGGCAAACCATGTGGATTTACAGACGCTGGAAAAAAACATTCCGAAGCGGGTCAGGCTTGTGGATTAAAACTGGTGATTGGATTGTCTTGGCCACTTCTACATACATTTTACACAGTGATGAATAGAGTAACAGCCAGTAGCATCACCTCTCCTCTCATGGACAACAGTATCAGTGTGACCCGGACAAAAGAAATGTCAAATACGACCTTGCATACAAAAACAGTCCCAACTATGTATGTATGTATGTATGTATACATATATTTATCCATCCCTCTGGTTGTTCACCTGAAGGCATTGGCCTCCTTGTGATTATATATTGCTGTTAATTGGTTAGCTTCCGTTTGGCACTGAACAACTTCATATGCCTCTTTTTCATTGTTGAGCACTGAGTTTACCGTGTTGCACCTTTAACCCCGACTTTCTGGGAAGAGCAGAATGTAACGTGTCTCCATGATGCTCCAGAGGTCTCTTGTAGGGATTCAGTTTTGGGATTTTAAGTTTGGGTCTCACAGCATATTATCATAGAACAGAACTTTTTTTCAACGACGAAAAGCATTTTGTCGTACGTGACGTTAACCTCCGCCTTATTAATGTGTTTATTTCTGTCTTTTGGGAGTCCATTTCTCCTGAGAATGTAAGAAGCAGCCTGCTTGGGAATAGATGGTCCCAACATTCTGGGCACTTCTTTAGGAAAGAACCTCTTGTATTATGCTTTAGTAAAGTATTATAGCATTAATATCAAGTTTAACTGCTATTACCTATATCTGATCAGACTGGTGAAAGTAATAAAAACAGAACCAGCATATACTTGTAGCTCTGCTTTGCAGGTACAGCTCACTATGTTTTAAAATGAATCCTGAAATATATTATTAAAGCAAACTCAAAGGTAAACTATGCAGGGATAAAAACGGGCAAAGACTCAATAATCAATTATAATTAGTGTGTAATCTAATCATATTAGAAGTGTGTCAGCTTTCCACCTGTAAATTCTTTGTCTTATGTTGCTGTGATTGTTTCTAAGCTTTTGAGCAGCAGGCGTTCATCATTTAATCAGAATAGTGAGCAGCTTAAATGTCTCCATCTCTCTCCGTCTGTGACACAAATGTGCAAAGAGCTGCAGATCTGTGCTTCTGTTTGACCGAGAGCGGGGGTGACACACACAAACACACACACATGCACGCAGAGAACTTCCCGTGGAGGTGTGGGCGTGTTTGTTTGTGCTTTGGAAAGTAAACGCAATGAAGCATTTAGGAAATAACAATTTTTGACGGCGGGGCCAACTTGAAATGGCGTGTTTACAAACCACAAGAGATTTGCTGCATAGTATAACGTTAACACTTTGAGTCCTATCCTGAATATGCTGTAGTTCTAGAAATAATTGCTTACATTTTTAACGGTCTGGGATTATATGAGATAGACGGTAATATTTTTTAAAAACATTATCACCATCTTGAGACTTCTAAAGGTACAAAGTCATTCATGTGAGAGGATGTAATGCAAGTTATTCCGTTTAGAATTTTGATCTTTTTAACCAGCAGCTAAATAGATCAATTATATATATATATATATATATATATTATACATATTTAATAACTGATACTCATCCACTGGTTGGTAGAGGTCAGCGTTCTTCTACAATATTTTCTTTTTTTTTTCTACCTGTTTATGTATTGTGAATATTGAATACCAATGAAAGAGATTCTTCTCATTGAGTGTTTGGTTTGAAGACTCGTGTATTTATCTAGTGTACCACGTATTTAAATGAGTACATGTGTTAATTTAGTACCAGTAAACAGTTAAGCCTTTTATCAAACCTTAATGCAGGTTAATCTTGACACATTTACTTTGTTTTTTTCGAAAATGTTGGCAAAGCCAAATCAAATGCAGATCAGGTCTCAGTAATGCATAACACACATAACCATATCACTTCATTCACAGGGTCATTATTTTTCTGAGGTAGGATTTGTGGTTTGAAAGCATGTATAAAACATTAGAAAAGATGTGAATGTTGAGTGTTTCATGTGGTCTTCGGTCTTATTTATTGTTGAAATCCTCAGCTTTCTTTCTGTGTATCAAGTCGGCTGATTCAGAACTGCTGCAGGTGGTGTCTGTATTTTTTGCTCCATCAAGTGAAACTTAAAAGAAACTGTTGAAGCAATGTGTTTTCATCAGATAATCGGATATTTATAACATAGGAAAATGACTAATTATAGTCAGTTTGCAGACTGGAGTTCTTTCCCTTTCGGCTGGTCTTTGCAGTACGTGATTGTGGCGCTTCCCTTTTTCCAAACTCTCAGAAACCATCTAAAGTACTGATACTGTTTAATTCTGTCGTTTAACAAATATAAATTCTTTATTTTCCACCATGCAAATAAAATCATACAAGTTGAACTCTTCATGTGGTGCAGTGTTGTTTTCTTTCTGTATGCATGACGATACACGGCAAAAAACTAATAAATAAAATCAGATGTATCAAATTATGGAACTTTGGAGAGATACAGTCTCAGTATTTGGCTCAACAAGCAGAACATGAGGTGCATTTAAATAAGACCGAATGTACTCAAAACAATGTCATGTTCCTCAGGTTGTCCTCCGTTCAGTCAGTGCCAAAGTATCTCTGTCCAAAATGTGTCGGAGCCACTGGATGGACCTCCGTGGTCAAGATGGTGATGTCAGGGAACTCCTGGACTATAGACTTTGCTCCTGGGAGAAAAGTAAAAGGGTATTACACACAATTATCTGAAAATGACATAAGCAACCTAATAAACTAAAACCCAAAGTCCATCTCATTTCTAATGATGTTGTTGCCGTGACTTCACACATTCATTTTTCACCAGGAGAGGAATCCTGAATAATGGGTTTCACATCCATACGGACGTTTTCAGCAAATAAGCTTTTGACAGGTGACCTAAAAAAACTAGTGACCAAATTGAATGCCAACCTTATTCGTTGTGAACAATAACAGAGCCCAACTCCTTGAGGCTGTTGGAGTACATTCAGTTCAATGAAATATTGAAATGCTGGAAACACGCGGCACACAGATCCAAAACCCCAAATTGAAAATCAGTTGATCCTGAGCCACAGGTGGCAGTGTGGTGCACAAATACACACAAAAAGACAGATAATGAACATGTCTCCCTTCAAAGGTCATCTCCTTTTAATCCTTTCAGCTGGTGACTGACTGTTCCAAGAGCCGTTTTCACAAACACATTTGTGTGTTACCATAATGGACTAAATTTAAATTTCTTTTGGTATTAATATAAATAATCTCAGTGAATGCTGTGATAGTTCCTCTGGCACGTTACATTATATTTTCAACATGTTGTCACCAGTGCTGATAATATTGTTAACATGCCCCTAAAATTTCAGTATTTCTTGTAAAAAGTGTTAATCTTGGCTTAATGATCTTTTTTTTTTTTTTTAAGTGCTTTCTCTTGAAAACCGTGAATATCCACATTAAATTTGATTCCTATCTGGCTGGTATTTTAATGGGAGCGAAAACTACTCCAGGACAACGCTATTTTTAGTCAAATTTGGTATCGCCGTGCGGGGCCAACACGTCGGTTACCAGCAGCACACAGTGAAGAGACAACGATGCAGTCCGTGTGTGGAGAACAGTCAAATTTTGGTGGTTTACCGTGAGGTGTGGAGAAGAGGCTGAGGAGGATAATATGTCTGGGCTGGACTCCGTGCTCTATCAACACCTTCACCGCCTCGATCACAGTGTTCCCAGTGCCTGCACGCACACGCACACGCACACACACACACACACACACACACACACACACACACACACACACACACACACACACACACACACACAACGTACGATTCAACAGAAATGTTTTCAAGTCTCAGGTTTACCATGTTTCAGGTTAATAATTTTTTTAAAAGGGTAACCATTAGACGGTTTGCACATGGCTGACGTCAGCGTCTGAAAAGGGTTCTGGAGCCGTGTGCTGATCTGCCCGTGAGTCACAGCACTTGGCAGGCTTTTATTTCTGATGCTGTTAAAATGCATTAGTGTAACCATATGTTCCATCATTCTGACAGGTCAGAGAATACCTTCAAACCGGCTCGGTCCCAATCATATTTTGATTATTGTAACGCTCAGAAACCAAGGCTTTTAAGATACTATTTTTGTTAGGCCTCATTATGCTATTCAGCAGCTCGGTGGCGATCTCCCAGGCAGTGTATAATTTACCCCGTGAGAGCTATAATTATCAGAACTGTGTGAAAGGGCCGCTACGATGTGGAAATGCAGACTTGGCGGTGAAGGTCAATTCAAGGCAGATTTTTCCAAATGAAAAGAAAGAGAAAAAAAAAAACATGAAACCATTTTTTAAATTGTACAAAACTGGAGATATCTTGACATTCACGGACCTCCGGGAGCAGTGAACTGGACTCCTCGGTAAGATAAACTGTGCTCAGCACCATGTTACTTACTTAGGATGGGGTACATGAGCAGCACTTTTCTCCTGTACACATCTGGAGGGAACTTGGCGTAGTAGACCTTGGCTTTCTGCGTCTCCTCATCACTCTGGATGAGGATCTTGCCGATGCGGATGGAGCGGCAGCAGTCCCGGAGGCCCTGTTCCATGGCCTCGCCTGTGGGGAGACACACAGGAACACAGCGTCCGTCAAGAGACGTTTATTCAAGCACAATTGTCGTCTGGCGCCAGTGGGCCAGCATTTCTTTTTTCAGACAGCTGACATTTTCAACACTAGCATTACTGTCATAAGAGGATAATATAGGGTTTGCAATAGATGCATTAAATGTACCATTTCACCACGCTACAAGTGTCATTAAATCGGACGAACAAAAGAAGTGAGACGCTGACTGCTATGCTTTCAGAGAATATGTTCCGCAAAGTACAGAATTGCCCGATTATTTGATGGAATACAATTATCAATATATTTCACTGGCTGAAATGAACTGCCTGTGGATAAAAAGTGAAAGATTAAGAGCACACAATTGCCTGACCTGATGAATTTCTGCTGAAAGGAATGTGCAGTACGAGTGCAGTTGGCACAAATCCCCCGTGCACGCCAGCGATGATACATGGCCTCACAAAGGAGACTCAACTTACCACTTCTCATGATGCTGACACCACAGTTGCCTCTTTCAAACTTGACACCTTCATACTTGTACCCTGAGAGGACAAAAGAGGTTTAAGAGACATTCACAAAGGTAGCGGGACTGAAACACTTGAGGGGAGACGTGGGCCTATTTTTGTAACTAAAACCTTGAAACATACGATGTGGCTTGAATATTTGGGGAGGAGACCCTCACCTGTCGGCGTGGTAACAGTACACTCGGAGTAGGGGAGCTGATTCAAACCCTCTTCAACTACCAGTCTGATCTGTTGTTGGAGAAAGAAAGAAAAAAAAAAAAAGGTTTCCAGCTTGTAGTTTATAAACCTCCACGTAAAGTATGTGACGTTAAGTTTTCAATCTTACCAGTCGATCGGCACAAAACACAAAGTCTCCTCTGCTGGTTGTTCTGAAGGATGAATAGAAGCATTTGGTTAAATGGTTCAGAATGTCATTTTCACACAGAAATGCACCAAACCATCTTCATGTCCCCATTATGATTGAATGGTGGTAAGATGTGTGTTATTGGTACGAGGCACTGATCCTTTACCAATTTAACTTTACCTGCCGGTGTGGAGCCAACTGGATATCCAAGATTAAGGTCTGCGGGTTTGAGGGATGTTTTAGTTCCAAAGCACCAGTGTGCATAGACGGTTTTTCGGGTGCGTGTGCATGTGCGTGTGCAAGTGCGTGTGTGTGTGTGTGTGAGGGGGGGGTCAAAGTTTGGGCCAGAATACATATCAATAAAGTCCGCTCTGATAGTTACACGAGTATAGTTACACCGCTGTTGCCTCGTCATACAAGCTGAACACCAATTAAGTGCCATAGGCTGCGTTTTATTTATTCATAATAATAAACTGCTGAATTAAAACCATCGAACTCGAACCCGCACCGCTGCCACCGTGTTGTGCAAGAGACAGAAGAGCAGGGGGACTCACTTGTCCCTGATTATGGTCTGTAACTCCCGGATCTGGTCGTTGAGAGGCAGCAGCTTAAGCTGCGGTCCCAGGTCCTCCGGGCTGTCGGGCTGTTTGGGGCCGCCGGTCGGCCCGCAGTGGGGCAGCGCCGCGGGGACGTTGCCGCTGTTGGCAAAGCGCACTTGCTTCACGGGATGCTCCTGTCCGCTGCTCACGTTGTTTAGCTGCTGGTTATGGCATGGCATCCTGAGAGCGGAGATCGAGGCGCTCCCTCTTAATACTGGGCTGAAACAGGACCGCGATGCGTTACCCACGAGCTTCTTACCCCCCCGCGGCCCGCCCGCCCCCGCGCGCGGACACCTGCGACCCAGCTCAACACAAAAGAAGGCAACGTGTTCTTTGCTTTAGCTCCGGCTGCGTGTGCGTTTGAAAAGTGAGATTCTCGGGAGTGACGCAGCCGCCGCGTAGAGGAAGTCCACCGGCGACGCGCTCGGTCCCGTCGTGTTGAATTCACACCGGTGGCTGAGATTTCGTCGAAAATGCGGCGTTGGTGCTCAGAAGTGTGGCGGGCGCGTGCTAGCTTTGACACTGACAGCGTTAGTGGAGACAGGATATGACGTAGCGGCGCGCTGCCCGCCTTCCTCCTTCAGACAACATGGCGCCGATGTTGGTGCCGCTGAAGTGCGGCATTCACTTCCAAAGACGCAAGTTGGCGCTTCTCCTTCGACAGACGAGCTCGTACCACAGCTGGAATAAAAGTCGCCCCGAAACTGCAACTGACCACAAACGCCAAAGTACATATCTGGTGAGTAAAAGGGGGACAGGTCGGCTGGCCGGAGGGGACACGGGGTAGTTGATATGACTGTCCCCACGCAAGGGCAGAGATGGGAAGTGATGCAAACTAACTTTCAGTGAGGTTTGGTTAGTTCATTTGGTCAGTTTGTTGGCACGAGCGGTGAATGGCGCGTCAATACGACGTCACTCAACCATCTGATCACTCGGCGTTGAGCGCCAGCTAACGTTAGCTACGTTAGCTAGCGTTCCCTCTCATAACTTATCTAACGTGAGCAGTCGCGCTAAAGGGTGTGAACTTTGTCCTTTCGCCCTGACCGAACGTTGAGTGAACGCGTGACCGCAACAGCCCCACTGTCTCCTTGAAACGGACAGTGTTTAGCAAGCTAACCCTAACCGAGTAATTAGCTGGTCAGTGGGACCAGTCACGTGGTCGTTGTCTGTAAACGTCTGATCGATGGATTGTGTTTAATCACCGGTCAACAGTCCAAATCAACGTTATTGATTTGCTTTTTGACAACTTCACTGTGAAACAACAAGCTGATCCCGCGGCATGTGACGCATTCTGATGTTACACCTTATCAAGATCCTAATATATATAATATGGAAACCGTTTGTTGACATGCTGACATGACAGCAGTTTGTTTGGTGTTAAACAGTTTAGTGCAAAACCCCGAGGTGGTAAAAGTAACACTAAAGCTTATCCGAGTCACAGTTTTGCAACACGCAAATAACACATTTTACATTCGATGCGTAATGATTAGTATGACATTTGTTTAAGTCAAAATGTTAACTTTTACTGTCTCATAACAAATGACACGTTTCTCAAATATGTTGCCTGTACTATTTGATGACATAATCGGTCATCACTTATCTGAGGTTGGATTGCACAACCCCCTCATGGAGATAAACATATCTGATATTTGCCCACTCTCACCGATAAAGACTTGTGTAAATGTTGGCTCCGTATGTGATCTTAAACCACCCACCACATCTTGCGTGCTCAAACACACAGGGAGATTTTCATCCCTCTTAAACAGTGTTTGAATCGACTTCCACGAATCACGGGAGGTGATGTAAGTGAATCTATTTCTGAACATCATGTCACTAGTTCTGAACCTGTGTTGGATAGAATGAGTTGTATAGGGGACAAATATTCATGGTAAACAATTATCAACTTCTTATTTAATGTTGTATCATTTCTGAATGCCCTCAACTCTTGTGTACCCTGCTTGCGTCGTCAGCTTTACATCCGCCGCTCGCGTTGCCTAGTAACCTGCTGCAGGAAAAGCCGAAAAACGTATAAAATACAGATGGAGAAGGTCGTCTTCTTATTTTCAAAATAAATCAGTTAAGCCATGTGCTTTCAGCTAAAATTGATATTGCAATCTCAAGGCATAGGAAATCAATCAATACAGTCAATAAAAACAGCAAACAAGCTCTTAACTGTAACCTTTAGCTTGATGCTGCTTCCTCCTGGCCCCCTAAAACAAAATGTAAAGTTAGTTTATAATACACCACAAAAAAAAGGAGCATAGTCACCTTCAGTTCCTTTTGTGTATTTATTCTTGACGTTTTGTAACGTTACTGACTTGGAAAGGGATATTTCAGGTTCATAACTTGTCTACCGGAGCTCACCATGATCCTTTCCTGTTCATAATATGAAGTATCAACCATCCATAAAGCCGTCAACGCCTTAGTAAGACATCAGCCCGCCTCTAAGGTGTCAAAGTTAAGCCATTAAAGTGGCTTTTCATTGAATGACTACTGTCGTATGCAGGCAGACGACCTGCCGGTAACATGAGCTGCTCGTTGAACTATTTGTTATAGACGTGTGTTGGTACATTTTAAAATTGAACTCCCGCTTCCCCCACTGTTGGCTCACCTGCCTCCGTCCTGAATAAATGAAATCCTCGTCCCCCTGCACTGCATGCTGGGATATTCTGGGCCGCAAAGGATAGATCAGATGTGTCCTCCAAAACGGCTCCCGGCGGCGGAGCCAACGGGCCGGCCGAGTCGCAGCTAAAGTGACATAGGCACTCAACGAATGTGTCCTGAAGGGTCCAGGCCAAGGAATTGAGACATACTTTGTGTTTCAATATGTGTCTGAATATTAAGACATTCATAAAAATGAATCAGCAGTCATTTGAAACGTCAGTCACACAAGACTCTTCTTCTTTTATGTTGCAGCTGAGTTCCCCTCCACACCTACGGACATCCACATGGAGCACAAACAGGAGCCAAAACAGTCGGCAGATTTTGGAGACGGTGAAAGTAAGAACGTTTGAGAAATAACCGTGAATCATGAGCGTTATTAAAGTCAGAAGTACACTAACGATACATAATGTTTTCACAGCATTTACAGATAACCGACAAAAGAACGTGTTGGCATGGAAATGCAGGAGGAAAGCTAAATGCAGATCCCAAAAATGTGGTGAGTAGCTTCCTTTCCCAGCTAAGGGTTTGGTTAATGTTACCTCGGGTCCTTTGGCTCGGTGGGTGTGGTTATTTTGTGCTGGTGTCAAAACTGTCATTCGCTTGAAATTTGTTGCTGGTGTGAAACCACAGGGTCTTATGATGCCAGGGATGTGACTTCAGCATGATTCAAAAGCTGAACTGTAAATAAATCCATTTGCTGATCCTGAAATGTAGTCATTTAATGTTAGAATTGTTACAAGACCATATGTATATGATTTGTTAACCATGCTAACAAATAGGGACACCAAGTGCAGGTATTTAACCCTGATTAACAGGTCAAAAGCTGCTGTGCTTGAATCAGACTATGTGTGGATTAAAAGTGTGTGGCAGAAATCTCATAATTTAACCTGCTAAGAGACATAGATTGTACCAAAACATGAGATATAATTGCCATTAAAGCTGAATGAAAGTGACTGAGATCATTTTTGTATGTGTAAGGCATCAGGTTTGACTGCTTTCCTAACTTTATAAAAGAATGTGTAATAAATTAATTAAAATCTAGTTATATTTATAGTTGTTATCAAATTAATAAGAAACGTGTTACCTTAATTCCTGCACTATAACTAGAACATGGACCTCAGTCGTGCATTGTGCATTAATGTTAATCCTCTGGTTGCAGTGTCATGTGCGGCTTCATTGTATTTGATTAAAGGCAGGTGTTGGGCCACAATTGCAGTATAATGTGCTTGGAGGTTCTGCCATGCAGCAGCGCGCCTACATGGTGCCACCATATTGAGTGGATTAGAGGAATTATTGCATATTCTTTGGCCCGCGGAGAGTCCCCGTGGCAGGTGTGCGGTGGCGCGTGTGTAAACAGCCATATTGGCGCCAGTGGGCTTTCGACCTCAGCTGGGATGACAGCCCAGGTGTCTCCTGGGACATGTAGTGTCAGACTGGACCCCCAGGTCCACCTGGAGACGCCGCTGTTGTTGTTTCCGGATCTCCCGAGAGACTCCCATTGACATTTTATGTTCCGTGTGTCCAAGAGAGCCATCTTGAGGCTGTTATGATTGTCACATTTAATCAAAGTGGAAGGTAGTGGCCAATATCGGCCAACATATGGTGGGTATCGGGTACATAAGTGTAGAATAGTTATCATTGTTTTTAATAGTTTGAACTGTATCTTTCAGCACAGGCGTCTCATGTTAATTCCTGGTATTGGGATCTAAGAAGGGGCTTTTGCCTTTTGTCTTCTGCTCCACAGCTGAACGAAGTGAATTCAACCCAGATTCTGTCTGCAATGCTGTCTTACGTGTGGCCGAAGGATCGACCAGACCTGCGGGCGCGTGTTGCCATCTCCCTGGGCCTGCTGGCTGGAGCCAAGGTAAGTTTATCGATAATGTAGTGCGTATTAAAGAGGAGCTCATTCCTGTATTACTGTAATAACTCTAACTGTTATTAATGCTTACCCAACGACTGAACTGTGTTATTGAAAAGTGTCCAGGGTCCATTTTGACAAAAGAAGCTCCAGTCCATTTCTCACATTTAGTGACTCTTCTTGGTTAAATTTTCTCTCAAATATATTTGATTTAAAACTCCCTGATGATCTTGTCCTTATTTTAAAATTGAGAAATACATCATGAAATGCCATAGTGTAATTGAGAATATTCTGTACCTCATAACATAATCAGAGCACTGCTCTGAAATGATGTAGAATAAGACATTTAAAATAATAACCCACCAGAAGTTACAAATGTGGCTCGTACCTGACTAGTTCACTGACGATTTTGCTGATGATTTAGAACATTTAGCACGTGTGTGAAATGGTTCGTACCGGGCTGCCATTAGCTAAGTTGATGCCGCGTAGGTCATTGCCGGCTTTGTGGTAACTTCCACCTTTTCTCACTCGCCACACTTCACTCATCGTCTGCTGTGACAGTTTTTAGAGTGCTTTTCGGGGGGCTTCTGTTAGTTTTAATTTATCCCCGTTTTGCAAGAAAGTGTCGACGTGATGCGTTGCAGACGGTAACAAGCAATTATCCATTTTTCTCAGGTACAAGTTAAATCAATCCAGAGATCGGCGCTCACAGCGAAGCAGTGAGTGACTATTCAAGGTCACTGCTGATGTCAGTTAAACCCAACGGGTCATCGAGTGTCAGATATCAAACTTTTTAACTTGAACGAGTCAATGCCAGCGTTCAACGGAGTTTGAGTCGGCATAATTCATTTCCCAAACTCTATCTTTTTATGTTTTAAGAGAAGACGGCAGAATCACTGCGGTGTGGTTCAACCTGTTTCATAGCAAACCGTTTGGGCAGACATGTTATTGGGTAGTGGCTCATCTTTGCAGTTTGCAACTGCTGAGAGAATGAGAGAGGCCGGATTTCAGCAGCCTGCTCGTGTTTTGATTTGCGCTCGGTTAAGAAGTGAGCCGCTGCTTACTATTCTTCGCATTCACGACCTACGGTATCGATGTCGGCGGAAAAACTAACACTAGAGGGGACGGCGCTGTGACATTTGGGAGGCCAATGCCTCACGTTTAAAAAGTAAATGCAATGTTTTTTTGAGTATTTCATCCTCTGTCCATTATCAATACAAAGAATATAGGACGCTACATTTGAGGTGTCCCGTCGTCACACCAGGACATCAATCAGGCATCTCGTCTTCCGGGCATTCGCATAAAAGTTGAACTCTATTTTCACCCTCTTTGTCTTATTTCTAAGCATGACATTTGGAACACTCATCTTCCCAAATGACTACAGGAAATATACCTCTATGTGAATAAATGTCAACTGCCAATTTATTCAGGTAGGTTAGAATTTGTGATTGCTGCTCACAAAAGGCCTAAATATAAATATTTGAATGCTCCAAGAGAATTCGAAAACAACAGCAGCTGTTTCTCTCTTTCCAAAATCCAAGTGTGGCTCTAATTATTATATATATTTGCAATCAGAGATATCTCACTATTTCGACCCCCGGTTCCACGAGCACACACACACACACACACACAACAGGCTGTTAAATTGCGTAAAGAACACTCCACAACATCTTCAATTCCAACAACTGATTATGTGTGAGCTCGTTTTCCTCGGCCTAAAGAGGAAGCCCTCTTGCTTCTGCAGGTCACACTGAGCTTAGGCTGATTCTACGTAGCTTCTTTGCCCCTACTCGCCGCCACATCTCCATCGTGAGAGGACTTTAGCTGGTGCGGACTTCAGCGTTGATTTAATCTCCAGTAAAAGAGCACATCCAACTGTATCTACTATTAGTGGTAGAATCAGGTCATGTTTTGGCCCTGTGGTAATGGCCCCAGCCAATCATTTTGTGTTATATTCTGTTGTCTTGGTAGCAAAGAAAATGTTTTTCCTTGTGCGGTTCAGAGGACCTCTATTATCTGAGTATAATAACGAATTGTATGAGTTGAGAACCCTGGGGATGGAGCTTTTAAAGCGCATTATTAGTTGTCCTTTCTGGTTAGTAGGGTTGATGGGTTTTGTCTTTTATACTCAGTTTTTATATAATTGCTATTACCTTTTTTCAATATTAAATTTCATCATGTGAAATTTGACTGGAGTAGGAGAACAAAAGGGAGAGTTAAGAAAGCGCCCTCCCCCTGGTTAGAGGTTGAGAGGTTCAAATGAAATGGGTTTTGTATAAAAATAAACTGCTGTGTTCTCTGGCTGTCCTAATGTGTAGCAGACCGCCTTGCCTGAGTCACACAGCTGTCCCCATGCTCTTAATTATCCCTAATAACCATTTCTATTCCATTAGCAGGAAGTACCAGCTTCCTCAGCAGCACTAGCACTACCACACAAGAAGAACACACTCCTGCTCAGCACAATGCTCCCCAATAGGTCACGTTTGATTCAGGGCCTAATAATTGTGGAAATCCATGTTTCTAAGCGCACAGGATGCACTTCCTCACGAACACACGGGCACTACAAAGGGGACTGGAAACATGTCGCAGGACGTCTCTGAGCATATGTCTGTCTAATAGGCCATATGAAACTAGTTAGTTCCCCGCCTCTCTGAATGCGTTCTCCCTACCTCTCTGCCTCCCCAGATGACCAACGTGACAGTGCCCTTCATGTTTAAGTATGCCGTGGACGAGCTTAACCAGATGTCGGGACACATGCTGCACCTGAACGACGCGCCAACCACTGTGGCTACCATGGCAACGGCCATGCTGATAGGCTGTGAGTCCCAGACTTGTATTGCGTTGGCAGGTGCCGCGCTCATCAGAGGAGACTGCGGGACTGCCTATTATCTACACGTTGACCTTTCTCAACATTCATATCAATGGCGCTCCGCAGCCCCCCCTCATCCCTCCCCCTCCCCCTCCCCCGCCTCTCCCTCATTATTTACATTATGGGCTCCGTGCTGCATCTTGGTTCACTTCTGTAGATCTTCGCGGCCCCCTCGGGAGCGCTTTGCAGTACACCGGTGTGCCCCCCAGCAGGGAGGGCTGGATAGATTTTATTTAAGCCGTAGGACAGAAATGGACAATGTCCTTATTAAAGTGAGTGGACTTTTTTTCTTTTTTTGTGTTATTCAAAGGCCAAGAATGTTGCTTCCGCTTCATCGCTTGAGTCTTTTTTTATCTCTTTGTTCAAACGGCCCCCTGTGAATACAAGAGGGGTCAAATGGGTGAAATGTAGCATGAATATGAACTCCAGTATTTTTTCTCTGTGCTGCTGATGAAGATCTTAAATAAGAAAATAAATATGTGTTGAATGTCACTCTGGCATCGGGTGAGAGCCGCGTGGATGCAATGAACATCCTGTAGCCACTTATTTTAATGAGTCCACTTAGGCCTTGCACACTAATGTTGCCTGTAGAGTAATTGGAGAAGACGAGCAGGACTCCAGACAGGACGAATTAAGGTGACGAGGAAGAATGAAGGAGATGCTCTTAAGGAAAGGAATTGGGGGGTTTTTGTTCCCGCCGTGCGACACTCGGGGGCCTCGGTACTCGAAGCCTGCGGGAACGGTTGTAATTTGGCTGAAAAGGTTGCACAGTGCTCATCTTACCTTGTCATATGTGGACATGTTCATTAGATGAGCATTCCTATTTAACGCCACATTACAGACCCATGAAAACCGGCAGACGGAGCGATTATTACCCTGACTTTGGTCTCGGCAGACAAATCGTGTGTTAACACAAGTCTGTTGAAATTGCCCCAGGAAGGCCACGTGACATTCAAACACAGGCTATTAATTTGCGATAGTCATGCTAGCCATCTGCTTGTAGAACAGTTTATGAGGAGTGTAAGAGATCAAACAATTGACTGGTTTTATAGAACTTTTAAAGCGTTTCCATGTTGCTCGCATCATTCAGCTGTGTCTAGACTCAGACGTTGGTTAAATTTAAACCTTTTTTACCAACTCACCTCGTGGTCACATGCTTCGGCCGCTGATATTATTCTGCTCACACACACCGAACACACTTGTTGTGTACACTCGCATAAGCACCTCCCCCTCCGCCTGCAGTGTGCTGGCCTGGCATGGCCGTGATGTTTCAGACCGCTTCCTGCTCTGCAATTAGGGTTAGAGAATTACCCTGAGGTACTTTGTGCAGAGCAGAGATGATGCCTCAAGTCCCGGCCACCTTACACGAGCCTTCACCGTCTCTCTACTGCATTGCGCCTAACGAGACGGGAGAAGTGCATTTTTGTTTGGCTGCCTCGTGTGGCTTTTAGAGCTGCATAACAGTCCTCCGCGTTTAGGACGAGGAGGACGCGCTCTCACTTGATGGCGCCCCGGCCCCGCTGTTTGAGCCTCCCCAGGTTTTCACAGCAGGTGTGCTAAACTCTCTGTCTCCTCCGCTATCCCAGATGGCGCGTCCCGGGCTTGTGCAGCCTTCTTCAACGAGCTGAGGAACACTGTGTTTGGCAAGGTGGCCCAGAGCTCCATCCGACGCATCGCCAAGAACGTCTTCCTCCACCTGCACAATCTGGACTTAGGTTTCCATCTCAGCCGCCAGACGGGAGCGCTGTCCAAGGCCATCGACCGCGGTACGCGGGGCATCTCGTTTGTCCTCAGTGCCCTCGTCTTCAATCTGGGACCCACGGTCTTTGAGATGGGCCTCGTCAGTGCCATCTTGGTGAGTCTCCTTGTGACATGTTACCACAACGCAGACATTTAATGATGGGAGCAAAGAGGCTTCGCCAGTATTTTAGGAATGCTACCAAAAAAAAGCTGCTTACAATTTACTTGCTTTTATTTCTTCCTGCTGTTATTTGTTCAGGGTTTAATGTTGGCGCAGGAACTTCAACCTCACCTTCAAACTCTTCACAGCAGATTGTGTGTAAATTAATTCTGGTCATATTGTCTCATTTACTTTCTAAATGGAATACGAATCCCCGTGAACTTTTTGGTGGCAACACGGAGCCCATTAGCGTCAATGACGAATCCCGAAGCTTTGTGGCTGCTTAATGTCCTCCTGTGGAGTAGGCCCTGAACAGACGCCCCCCCCTCTTTTCCCCATCTCTTCCTCCCTCCGTGGCCACCACTGAAAGAACGGCCTTTCTTTTGCTTTGTGCTATAATTCCACTCTGGACCATAATGTAAACTTTCCTGTAATGAGCATGGACTCCATTTAATTTAATAACTAAAGCATTAGCCTGATTAGTTCTTCTAGATTCTCCTCAGTTTGTAACACTCAATATCAAAAACAGTACAAAATACTCTGTGACGCCAGCGCTGGAGTCCGGTGGTCCGATTCCTTATTTTATTCTTTATTTTTCTGTGCTTTTCTTTTCTTCTGCAGTATTACAAGTGTGGTGGACAGTTTGCAGCGGTGTCCTTGGGCACACTGTCAGCGTACACCCTCTTCACCGTACTCGTCACCCAGTGGAGGTAACATGGAAGATGTTTGTGCTAGGCCTTCATGTTTTTTTTTGCTGATGTCAGTAAGCAGTCCTGTGGCTCAGTCACACGGTTCACTTTGGAGGTTGAAAAATGTACTTAAAAAAGTGCTTACGTCATTGTGCATGTGTCCCTGCGCGCAGGACTCGGTTTTGGATAGAAATGAACAAAGCAGACAATGAGGCCGGCAACGCAGCTATTGACTCCCTTCTTAACTATGAGAGTGTCAAAGTGAGATTACACGCACGCACGCACGCACGCACGCACGCACGCACGCACGCACGCACACACACACACACACACACACACACACACACACACACACACACACACACACACACACACACACACACACACACACACACACACACACACACACACTAGGGCAATTGCGCTCTCTGCGCAAAGCGGTTTAAATGAACGACAACAATAAACAAATGCTGAGCGCTGATCAAGAGTTTTGTGCTAGCAATTTAAGGTTGCGATTCTTGTCCCAAATATGGCAGGCTTCATTCAGCGATTGAAACTGAAAGTTTTACAGTACCGACATTGAACGATTCGAGCGAGCTCTGCTGTAAACACGGAACCTTTCATCGGCATGAAACTGCAAATAATCAAACTAGTGCATGAAGCTGTTGTAGCCGATCTAGTCTGTTTTATTCATGCAATACACAGTAGTCAGGTGCGCGCCCACCCGCTAAGCAGACAGTCACGCCGCCGGTTTTAAATTATTTTTTATTATATTATATATGCACGACTATTATATATTCAGTTTCACATTCGAATATATATTCGAATATAGAATATTTGTTGACAGCCCTAACACACACACACACGCATACACAACTACCGTACACTCTTCTTTCAGCTCCTTATCCCCACCACCCACCTTTCCTTTCTCCCTTTTAGCTCGTGTTAAGCCTAGTTTATGCTACTGGGTTTTCAGAGCGACGCAGACGCAAGACCCCCTTGCGTGTCCCTTGCGTCCCTTTTCACACGTCCTTGCGTCCTTGCGTGTGTCGACCCATTTTTCTAGGCTTGCGTCGCTTTTGATGCAAGCGACGCAAGCCTCCCGCAGCGCACCAGGCTGTGATTGGTCCGCTAACTACGTCCTTTACGGAGTCTCACATTTCCGTTTTCATAGCACAATACCGCCATTATTAAAACGATGAGTGTTTACGAGAGAACGGATCAGATTTAAGAACTTTTGTCTGAAGAAATGCGTAAATATGACCGCTTATGCAACCCGTCATTGGCGGGTTGGATTCACGGAGGGAGATCTCCGCAAACGCCGGTTTGCCGGTCGAGGGGAAGTTGTGGAGGAAAATACGGGACAAATGTGCCCGCGATGAAAAGCAGCAGTGTCGATGCACGAGGCAATAAAGTCTATGATAAATAAATAAACAAACAAACCAACGACAAAAACCACACACAAAGACCTGACTCTCTAGGTCGTCCTCAACAAAAACACGTTACTCCGCCTGTTTTTCTGGCAGTGAATTGCTCTGCAACGCACGCAAGAGTTTCAGAACCATGAATTGAAACGAGTGCGTCGACGCAGACACAGAAGCATGCGGCAGCCTTTAGTGTTTTTGTTCTATTCTGTTAAGCCAGACACATGGACGTTAACTAATATTTACTTTAACTTTAACTCCTCGCTGTGTCCCGGACTCTCTTTGCTTAGACACACAAACTCCTTATCGTACACGATAAAGTGTTATGACAGATTTATGACTGAGAGGATAGAAAGTCACTTCTAATCTCTGCTTTATTTTAGGCCATCATAATATACTCATTAGCATAGCGTGGTGCAAAGATTTAAAATCTTCATGTGCTCCAATAATTTAATTGTCTACCTATATATATTTTGGGGATTTTTAACCTTTGCCTGGTTGATTCAAGATGAACTTCATTGCAATTAAAATGATTAAGTATATAACTAAAGCTGGACAAATCATCAAATTTCCAAAGAAATCACAATATGAAAATGAACAAAATATGCATTAAAAATGCATAAAGAATGTTGTATTGTGGTGCTGCTGAGATGTCCAGGCCTGCACGTCCTGTTACAGATCCCCACACAAATGACGTGAAATTAGATATTTTGGTGTGTTTCAGGGGAAATTGGTTAATTTAAAAATAACTAACTAATAATACTAACTGTAACGATATTGTGAATAATTGTGTTATTGTAATATTAGTCCAAATAATTGCAATTAGGTTTACTGTTTGTATAGAATATCTAATAAGAAGAAAAAATGCTTACACCCATTTTGTTTTAATTTATTCAAAGGGTTGAACAGTTGGGTAATGGAGATACCGGAGAAAATATGAACCCGTACTGCTTAACTAAGTGCACCTATTAACATTAAGACAATGCAGTGATAATTGGCATGACAGTAGTTCTGCACATACTGACCTAGTGCTGCACTAATGATGAAGAATGGCAAAAACAGTATTAATGTAATTTTAGACATTTTTTTATGCTACCAGTATACTGATAAACAAAAATGCACAGTCTTCGAATGGTAGGAAAAACCTCACGGTTTATTTTCGCATCATGTTGGCGACGTTATTGTGTTAAAAAACAAGCTTTTAAACACAACAGCCCATATCGAGGTCAGACAAATTTAATTCATATTTTGTAAGTTGCTATGGTAATTATGGTTCCAGGTCCAGTTGCTACAAACAATCAGGCATTCATCCTGGGACATCTAGTGAATGACTGAATTGCTGTGTACTGCTCTCAGCCTCGTCTTCATCCTCGTTTTAAGCCTCTTTCTAGGTAGCCTCATTGTACATAAGACACTCACCAAAAAAGTCACCATCCAGCTTTTGGGTGCTTTGTCTGGCTGTTCTATGTGTATGTATATTCGTACCCATGTTATTTTCTTTGCTGTATTATTTTTGCGTCCTGTTTTTCTTAATGTTTTGTTCTGTGTTATTTTGTGTCATCTGTGCCAATGCGGCCGGATTTAGCATCACTCTGAGCTGTGAGTGTGCATATGTAATTAGATCTCCGCCCACTCAGAAATCCGTTCCACTTTCACAAAGGGCTGGATGAGAACCTGAACGCGGTGCCTTGCGCTGCTTCTGTTTGTCCTCCATGTGCTACTTTCTCTCCTCCCCCCCCCCACCCCCCACATGGGTTTTCCTAAATGCAAATCGTTGGCAAGTCTGTTGCAGCACAGCACCACTGCCGTTAGCTAGAAAAGCAAATCGCCCACTTAACCAAAACAGAGGAACAATAGTGCAAACTAAACAAACAGCAATATTAGGTCAGTGGCAGCGCAGTTGAGGAGGGTTGTTGTTGTGATACTGCCGTAGTTTTGTGTGCTGAATTTGAGAGATGTACTTGTTGCTGATTCATGAGGATGTATCTCTCGAAATGATGGCTGAATGTGTTAATCAGAATCAGTGCTGCTTGTGTGTTGTAACCCTCGTGCGCTATCGGGGCTCTGACGGAAGGTTTCTGCGTGCGCCGCCGTGCCACTGCAGGATGCTCCAAAGGGATTCTTGTTTAACTTACAAGTGATGTTTAAGCCTTCCTCACTATTTATAATCCGAGAATTTTTTAACTCGTCTTACGGCCCTCCACATCCTTCAAGATCAGTGGGGTGGAGATGATCATACCGAGATATTAAGAAGTGCAGTTGAGACCCAGACTACGGCCACAGAGAACAAATGCAGCCTAAAGATGTACTGATGCTGCTCTCATCCTCAAGCTTTAACCGTGTTGTTTGTCCCTCCCGCTTTCCCTGTCAACTTCCCTTTATGTGAAACCCTTTTTTTGCGGTCTCCGTGCCCCGCGCCTCCTTTTCACCTCCCTCTCTGCCTGTCTCATCTCGGCTGCAGTACTTCAACAACGAGAAGTATGAAGCGGAAAAGTACGACGGATACCTGAAGGTCTACGAGTCGTCCTCTCTGAAGACCACGTACACGCTCGCCATGCTCAACTTCGGCCAGAGTGCCATCTTCAGTGTCGGCCTCACCGGCATCATGGTGCTGGCCAGCAAAGGCATTGCGGCAGGTGAGTGTGTGTGTCTGTGTGTCTGTCCATAAATCATGAAAAAAATGTCTAGCAACCTAATGGCTCAAATCACATCGCCTGACGTGAATTTGTGCCCATGATCTGTGTCCACAGTCCAATAGAAATAGAAATGCCTGTTTGGAAATCAGCGCGCTTTAAAAGAAACTCCTATAAAATAATCAAATGGCCAGAAAATGACAAGTAAAAACTCCCAAATGAACTGGATAATGGAAACCAAATGAGAACAAAGCACAGCAAGCATAAAAAGTGGCATGAATAGGAAATAAAACAGCCTTGATGCAGAAAATGAAATCACAGCGGGTGGAGATAAATTCAAAAAGTAACATGCTTTGTCTGCCTTCCCCCTCCAGAGGGGGAAAAAACTGCTTGAGTGCTATTTATTTTTCTGATCTTGTATCTAAAAGAGACACACGTGATGATGAATCGAGCTGTGCATCCTGTGCGTGTCTAAGTGCTGCTGTTGCTGTCGCGCAGGCACGATGACCGTGGGAGACCTGGTGATGGTGAACGGCCTGCTCTTCCAGCTCTCCCTCCCGCTCAACTTCCTCGGCACGGTGTACAGAGAGACCCGGCAGGCCCTGATAGACATGAACACTCTCTTCACCCTCCTCAACGTCGACACCAAGATCAAGGTGACTTGTCGGCACGATATGTACTTTGCCACATTGTAGCGGCAAATTGCAAAATGCCATTTTTACATTTTTCCTTTTGTTCTCTATTAAGCGCTATCAGTAGACTTGGTTAGAATGGAACCTGGAAACTGAACATTGAAAATGTTTCTTTCTCCACCAGCAGATCTTAATGGTGGTAAAAATAAATACTCTTGGCTGATGGTATAGCTTACCTTTCCACTGTCAAATAAATCATAGGGTGTAGTCTAACATAGTAATTGCATGCTTGGCGCGACTCAAGCGTACTCATCCTTTCACACTTGTAGGGCATGACATTACTCACTTGTCTTTATTTTATGGCAAGTTGCAGCAGAACTGTCATGGGGCATCTTTTTGTGATCGGTTATAATTCATTTCAGTGTTGTTTTATTCCTCCTAGATGTTGTTTTGTGTTGCAGAGGCATACAATCTTGATGCTCCCTGGCTGAGTAACTGTAGTGATGTGAGAGAATGTTACACTCCGGTTTTAACTGGACACTTGTGGCAAAAGCAGTAAAACTCCTCCACGTGTTTTTGTTGAAGCTCCTTTGGTTCATTTTAAAGTGCTCTCCTGCCCACTGTCTCCACTAGAATGGAATCCCAAGATTACTCTTTGTATTTAGTGAGTTTTCAGTTATTTTTTTGATTTGATCACATAATCGTTCAGTCCATATAGGATTATATAGAAATAATCTGCTATTCATAAGAGCCATATTCAAATTGCTGTTTTATACTGCCAGCTGTCCAAAGCCCATAGATAATCAATAATTACATATGACAAAGGCATTTGAGAGGCTGCAGCCAACTAATGTCTTGCCATGTTGTATTGAAATGGCTAAAACTATTGAGATTGTAAACATCTTCTTCCTTCAATCTCAAGACTACTAATGTTTTTGTTGGATATTTCATTGCATTATGTTTTTGTTTTTTTACTCGAGTCGACGGGCCATCATGCGTCACAAGTGCACATATAAAAATATAAACGCACTTCCCGTCTGCAGCTTGTAATTATAGTAGGAGAAATGAATCTGTCCAGTTATTCGTCACTCATCAGTAATACTCTATCGTGATTCCCTGTGGAATGGCCCTGCCCAGCAAGCCATTACTGTCTCAATGCTTTGTTTTTGTGGAACACACTTGCCTATTATGTAGATGTAAAGTAATTTAGAACACCCCCTTACTTGAAACCGCTTCACAAGATGAAGAAGAAAAAGAACAATGATCATTTTGGCTTATTTCCATGTTGGAGGTGTGTAAAGCGATCATTTGTTTACACTAATGGACTATGTATTAACTGGCTGAGGTGGATCGTGTGTGATTATGTTGTTATTAGATCGCATAGGAACAGAACGGGCTTTTACTCTCAGCGCGAGGAAAGTGCTTCATTCACCTTGGCTGCTTCACAGCACTATGGCTCAGCTCCGTATGTACCCAAAGTTTTTCACGCCTATTGATCCTTCAGTTACCACGAAGAGCCGCGTCTGAATGCTGGGTTGAAACGACCTCTGGAGTTTGCCGTGCACGCCGGTTCGTTATGCAGCCCAGGGCTGCGTGCTGCAGCAGCGTCACAACCCTTTGCACGGTGTTGGAGTGGCGTTGCATCATCCGGGGCCTCGTCTGCCAGCGGCTGCTCTGCATTCGTCTCCTCTCGCTGCCTTTCGTTTGTCTCAAACCCCCCCTGATGGTTTTCCTGTAGGAGAGGAATCTGGCACCGGCATTAGCAGTGACACCACAGGATGCCACCATCCGCTTTGAGGACGTCTACTTTGAATACATGGAGGGCCAGAAAGTCCTGGAAGGCGTGTCCTTCGAGGTCCCCGCTGGGAAGAAGGTGGCTATAGTCGGTGGCAGCGGCTCAGGGTAAGTCACTTTTATCCAAGTGTCTGTCATCTCATGTGTCTGCGCAGGCAGTCTTATCATCCGATGGCATCAGTAGACTGTGGGAGGTGTGTGTGGGGGGAGGGGGGGGCGCAGCTCACAGACGCAATGATACTGACGATTGGTTCCACCTCTGGTTGCAGGAAGAGCACCATTGTGCGGCTTTTGTTCCGCTTCTACGAGACGCAACAGGGGAACATCTACATAGCGGGGCAGAATATCCGAGACATCAGCCTCGACAGCCTGAGGAAGTCTCTGGGGGTCATACCTCAGGTCTGAGACACCCACACGATGACATTTTTATCAACACCACATTGTCTTTCTTTATTTATTCCCCAAAAATGAAATGGTTAAATATGCCTTCTTAAAGCTGAATGTAATGTATCTTGAGTTGATATACTGTACAACAAGGGGGCAGCATCCAATAAAACAGCAGCATTAGTTAACAGCATTAGAGATGAGCTGAATTCTGTTTTCCACCGCAGTGAGCTCAGAGGCTGATCTGAACAGATGGTACATGAACAGTATTTTTGTCATTTGCGTTCCTTCTCCTCCTCCCTCCTACCCTTGTCTTTGTATCCGCAGCCCTCTGCTGCAATAATAATATTCTCTGAAGCCTCGTTCTTTTTCCTCTAACTGTGTTGTTGTCAGGACGCCGTTCTGTTCCACAACACCATCTTCTACAACCTGCAGTACGGCAACATCAATGCTACTCCTGAGCAGGTGTACCAAGTAGCACGTCTCGCAGGCCTCCATGACGCCATCCTCAGGATGCCCCGTGGCTATGACACCCAGGTCGGGGAGCGGGGCCTGAAGCTGTCAGGTTTGCTGCAACAATATGATCACTGTTTAAATATGGTCTCCTCTGCAGAAGCAAGCAGAAGAGCGGTATGTTTTGTGTATTTCCCTGGATGGTGCACTTAAAGCATTAAGACATTAACAAGTTAAAACATTTCCAACTCCATTATCATCTAGTTCCTTTTTGAATCCCATCATCGTCACAACAGGAGACAACAGGCCGCGTTGGAGACAATTATTTGTCTCCAACGCGGCCGTTCACAGTAATGAAATTATTTTATATTCATCTAACTAGTGGACATTTTTTTAAGAGAAATGTAACGGTACAAATAATATATGCAACGTATAGCAGGTGGATGAATTATAATTATGAGTCATAGACGTGGAAAGTCATTGGTTCAGGACCCGCGTGGCCTGAGGACAGAAAGTACTGGAGCACGCGCAGCAGCTTTCCTACTCAAGGCGTCATTTCATTTTGGTATATTGTTCTAAATCGCCCCTGCAACCTGCAGTTATTTTCATTATTGATTTAATATTTCAATTCTCAATCCCAAAATTTTAGTGATGAAAAAGAAAAGCAAGAAATCCTCACATTTGACAAAGCAGGAATAGACCCGGTTCCGTTTGTCTGATGATGGACTTGAGCAATTCTTTCTCTTTAAATCGCAGATTTATCGACTGATCATTTCAACAGTAAATATAATATTGATATTGTGACATAAGGTTTGACTTTGGGTAAAGTATTGGCAGAAATCTGACTCTATCTGATTGAACTTCTTACTGCATTAACTACCATAAGATCACCCACCACTTTAAGTAAGCCCCCTCTATCTTGCACTTATACTGACTATTGATCTCTAGGTATTGAATCAAATGTGTTTTTTATATTTAGATGTGTTAATTCTATAGAACCCAACATTCTAAGGTCCACTGAACTTTCTTCAAATTTTTCAAATTTCTTAAACTTGTGTTGATCACATTACTTTGACAAGAGAACTGTGTTTTAGGTCTTAAGACTCTTTTCTGTAGCACTTTTCATCTGCTACATGTCAGTTGCATGTTTTGCGGACTAAACTCTTGAGACAAAGTTCTGTGAGGGATGTATACATTTGCACAACTTCAGATGATAAACTAAATTCCAAAATTGCTTCCAAGACATTGATTGTGAGCTATTGTCTTGTTAAAGAAGTGGATGATTAAAGTTAATTGAATTCTTAAATTTCACCTCATTTTATGCCATTCGTTAGCTGCGTTGTTGTTGTTGTGCTGTCCTCTTCGGTGTAGTGAGCCAACGTGTTTAATGGCACGCTGCCTCATTTGATCTGCAGTGATGGCACACGACTGTAGTATTTGGCTTCTAGCGTCACTCTGCAACTCATTTAGCCCACGTTAACACACTGCGTTTAACACACATTGTGTGTGTGTGTGTGTGTGTGTGTGTGTGTGTGTGTGTGTGTGTGTGTGAGCCATTTTACTCCACATTCGTGATGCAATTACTGGCTGCACAGATTTCTTTTTGTGGAGTGACTGAGTGAGAGAACGGACAAAGTAAAGACATGACTAACTTCTCATTAATTTCCCTGTTCGCGCTGGCTGCCAATGAGTTTATTTCAGGGTGGGTGGGGGGGGACGCAGGGGGCAGTCTGGGCTGTGAGGCTCCTAACTTTCTTCACTGCCAGCAATAGCAATGCTTGGTTTCAAGAAGCCAGCCACAGCTCATCTGTAATGAAGGCAGAGTCAGACGCAGGGAAGGTATCGTTGTGTCCTGCTGATTCCTTTCCTCCCTCTAATGAACGTCTTTGGCCGACCGTCCGTTTGAGGTGTCACGAGTAGAGGGAAGGACACGATGTATCGTTGCATTTATTCAACCTTTTTGCCTGTTTTAGCCTGGTCTCCTCCTGTTTCTGACATTTTTAATTTGCTTTCAGGGGGGGAGAAGCAACGTGTTGCCATCGCTCGTGCAATTCTAAAGAATCCACCCGTCCTCCTGTACGACGAAGCCACATCCTCCCTCGACTCCATCACGGAAGAGGTGGGCTTGACAGCTTATAAGCGCACACACATACACACACTGACCGGCACAAGGATGCATCCCTCACATGCCCACAAATGCCCCGTCTGCGGCACGTACGGGTTGACACCTCCTCGTGCAAACGTACACGTTTAGCACAACAAACACCCACTCAGTGACCTGCTGTAGGTGCACAATAATTCAGCCCGGCCCTGCGTCACATACTACAAAGAAATACCCCCTGTACACACTCGCACACGCCGCCCCCGTGTTCTCCCCTGCCACCTGCCACTGTTTTCTCCTACTTAATCTCCAGCTCAGCTTAAACCCCGCAGTCTTTGTAAATGTTACATTTAATGAGAAAGTTCAGCATACCATCTCTGAAAATAAGTGCGGGGCACCGCATGTGGCTGTTAATTGAGATTTTCAGTTGTTTTTCATCACAATGATGTTTTAACATTATCATATGTAAACAAAGAGAAAGAGAAAAGCATATGAAGGGCGGATGTTGCCGAGCAACATTCTGTTGACTTAGCTTCTCCTTCAAATCCGAGTTTGGGAGTACATTGTAAAAATATCTTGTCGTTCGGACGCTTTTTTTCATTATTCTTTTTATCAAGCCACCATTATTGCAAACCCGGGGGAAGTATTTTCTTTTTGAATAGGGGGCACTCTTTTAAATCCTAACAAAGTGATCATGCCGTCTCCTTTGTGTGCCTCCAGAACATCATGACTTCAATGAAGGAGATGGTGAAGGACAGGACATCGGTGTTTATCGCCCACAGGCTTTCTACCATCGTGGACGCAGATGAGATTATAGTGCTCAGCGAGGTGAGAACTCATCCACTTATTTTTTTTACTTGATGCCGTACCTTCCCTGATTAACATTTTCACTCGTAATGTCAGCTTCATAAAAAGCAAATAATAAGACGGTTTAAAGTTTGCAAGTAAAAACATGCGCTGTGTTAATTGCCGGCCCAATTAGCAGCGAAGGGAAGGATGGCGACCTGCTCTCTGCATGACCTTCAGCGTCTGCATCTGCCAGCGAGAATTTAGCAAGCAGCCTCTCATTTATTTTGAATTACCTTTCTACAGTGTACGTGATGAAAACATGCTTTGTTCAGCTTTTCTCATTAACTTCAACAACAGGACACTGTTGGTAGAAGCAAATGTATTATTTCTTTCTCCATAAGGGCTCATTAAAGCAGTCGGACTCGACTGGCTGTTTTGGTCAGATGGCGTGTCGCGTTTGTCTCAGTGACTAATAATGTATGGGCCGGCTTCCCAGACACTGATGAGGCCTCATCCAGGACGGAGAATGTCTCGTAATGTTAGTTTTTCTATTCGGTTCGTGGTCGGATGTGTTTCGGTCGGGCCCACGGTGCCGTGCACACACAAAGTGTGTTGAAGAACTGGGAAGACGGGGAATCTCTTTGGTAAATTGTCACCGTTTTATTGTGCATCGGAGAAATCTCCCAGGGAGGAGGAAAATGCTGCAGCGCGTAACGGGTTGGGCTCCAGACGCGGCAAAATGCACAAAAAGACAGTTGAGTCAGTTATTATGTGGAAAGTAGAGCTACGGTGAAATGTAACGCAGACGAACTGACATTTTCCACCGGCGCCGGAGTCGGATGGCATAAAATGAGAAGAGGCGTCTTTGAACTGCAGCGAGTGAGCGTGTGTCGTTCCGTGTTCCCAGAGTCAGATGGCGGGGATCAGAGGGTCGTGGCGAGGAGGCATGTTTGCGTGTGATGTCGCCATGCCGTTCGCTGGTGGTGTCACCAGCAGAGGACTGCCTGGGGTGCTCATTAAAATAACGAGCCCAAGCGGTCACATGCTCATCCCCGGTGCACTAAAGATGATGCCAACACCCCTGCATGCTCACGGGAGGATGCGGGGGAGGGGAAGGGAGGGGTCTTTGTTTGTGCGCGACTGTGTGGGAGGGGTGTGTGTGTGTGTGTGTTGCGTGTGTCTGCGAGGTTTTTGTGTTGTTGTTTTTTTTGCGAGGGAAATTGCAACAGTTGTTGGGAAGGCGGCGTAGATTGTCGGGGGGGAGAGGAGGAGGTGAGAGGAGAAGGGGGGGGGGGGAGGTGACTCTCTGCAGAGTGTGTGCTCCCTGTTGTTTGGTCATCACGTGATGCCTGAACTATAGGACATTTAAACTTGCGAGTTGAGGTTTCATCTTTCGTTTTTTGTATCTCCTCCAGGGTAAAGTGGCCGAGCGAGGAAACCACCACTCCCTCCTCAGCACCCCCGGCAGCCTGTACGCAAACCTGTGGAACACCCAGAACAGTAAAATCCTCAACAGCGCCAAGAGCTCGCCCGAGCCTCCGGTTGAGCGTCCGTCGCAGAAAGAGGAGGAGAGGAAGAAACTACAGGAGGAGATCCTCAACAGCGTGAAGGGCTGTGGTAACTGCTCCTGTTGAGAGGAGCTGCCGCCTCCATGTCGCCACAGCCCTCACAGATGGCCTGCACTGGAATCCCTGTTCTGCGCGGCATTTGGGAGGAAGGGAGCAGAGTGGGGCTACATCCCCACTATCCACTCAAGCCAAGCCCCCCCCCCTCCCAATGTGACTATCCCTCCTCCTCGCACAAATAAAGGCCACTGCTCGCCAATGTGAAGGAGGAGGAGGAGCAGAACAGGGAGTAAGTGTGTTTAGCTCTGGCTGGTGTCCAGAGATGGAGCGTCAATGCCAGTTGTCTCAGCTGAAGCCAAGCATAAGAGACCTTGTATATCACATACGTGTGTGTAAGACATCTGTTAGACAACATGGTTGCCCCACTCGTCCTCGTTTCTGACATCAGGTTTATTGACATCTTTCACTTCACAGATGAGAGAACACAAAATGACTTGCATATGATATTACTGAATTTGGATTTCCATAAACTCAACCTATAGTTTGTTTGTTTTTTAATATTGGAGATGTCTCTTATATTTTATGCTGCAATTTTATGTACTGGATTACAGATTGTTCTCTGTGCGAGTTGGTTTGGGTTCATTTAGCAGATAATGCATCAATAAATTGCATTACCCCTGAATTTTTTTAATTCTTAAGCATGTTCTTAAAATGTGGCAGATACTCAGGTCTTAACTTGATTCAAAAACATTACATGTTTGTTTGGGATAGAAAACATGGAAAATAGCTCCCCTGTGAATAAGCAGTACGTCGTTCATGTAAATATAACACGCGGACAATGACGGAAATTAACTAATAAACCATGAATGGTTTTCACCACATTACGAAGCAACAACTTGTTCCTCTGGGAACATTTCAGCGTCATCTCTTTTAGCCTTAGTTGATGGCTCTTCGTAATGAGTAACCACAGGGTGTTTGAAAATGTTTGAGACAGCTTTTTGGATTGTATGAGCAGAATACAAACTTCCTCCTGAAGCTTGAATAGTCATGTTTAAAAACTCATTTTTCTGAGGTGTTTGGGCTGTGATGTTCACACGTTGTCAGGAACATCAGCTTATTGTGTCTGTAAATTAAATGAACAGTCTTGTACAAATATAGTGTACACAATGTGAAGTCCGTTTTCATAATATTCTCCGCTGCACAGACTAATAAATGTTTTCTTTGGTTTTAACCAGTTCTCATGCTGATTGGTTTTGTGTTCAGTGATATCAGCCTAAACGCCACAAGATATTGATGTTTAGTGCAACATTTATACCAAGAAAACGTATACGTTTCTGTGATGCATTACGTTAGCTTAGCTTAAAGGGTTTAGCAGCCTGGTGGCTCCGTTTAAAGACCGAAAACTCCTCCTCCAGCATTATATCATATATTGTTTGTCTAATCGACCTACACAGAAATAGAGATGGCAGTTTGCATAGTATTTTGGCACTGAGCAGTTACCAAGCAAGCTGCTGACTGTTGCTTTAGAATTACTTTAGAGACACAACAGTTGAGTCCATATTTCGCTCTACCGTTGTACCAGAAAGTCAATACACTTCAGAAGATATCAAACTATTGCCTAAAATACATGGTCATTTGTTCCCTTCAGGCCTCTAAATGTGTTCAAATCGAATTTGATTCAAAAGTTTAAAGCAAACGTGAAATGATATCAAGCTGTTTCATACAACACACCAAACTGTCCCTTTATTCACAATCAGCAAAATTGGGTACTAATTTGAAGTTGAATTTCAGAACCCCTGCAGCTCCGAGGACGTCCCCTGGGACCAGTCATGGCACTTTCTGTGAGGCCTTTCGACAATATTATCGTTGAAACCAACAATAACAACAACGTGCTGTGCAGCCATCATGCAGACTCGCAGCCTTTTCTGTCCCCAGCGCATTACACGCATAGATATGGATATGGTGTCTACAACGTGATATATTATCAAGCTGACTGTCCCCTTTTTATCACGTTATAATTGCAAACATGAATGAAAACTTCCTAGGAAACTGAAAAATTGAATTTACCTTGTCGGCACTTAATGCAACACACAAAAAATGTGGCATAAAATACAGTTGCTCATTCAAAGAGATTTTTTTAGAATGCTATTTGACAGATCACATGATGAACAGGACGTAGCATCATTTGAGTCGCCTGGAGGCCGCCGGAAAAACAAGGTAAGTTCCTTCACTCTTCTCTGCAGCTTTGATCTCATTTCAAGTATGAATGAGATTGAGAATCCCAACCCACAATCCCTAAACCCAGAGTATTACTTATGCCCTCATGTTTTTGATTTGTAAAGATATTTTTGGGAAACCACTTGAGGGTGCTATGTTTGAAATGATATTAGCATTGCTGTCATGTGGTTAGCCCGACCCCTTTTGCTCATATGAATAATTTCCATTTAAAAAAACATTAGATTAAACATTAGAAAATTAAGAAGAAATGGCCTGAGATTGACCATTACATATTCTAAATAGGTAATCATGTATGTTATTAAATGAAGTTACAACATGCAAATGGCCTCATTTGGTGGAACAGGCTGCCATAGGGAAGCCTCCAACGCCTCTGAAGTCACACATTATAGATGAAAGTAGACTTTGATAGAGACCTGCTTAAAGGGAAAGAAACTCTGATTACTGGTTCGATGGCTCTCCTTTCATGCGTCAGATGTCCAGGAAGATGAGTTGGTGTTAATGGCGTCCTTCTAATCTAACCCTAGGAAGAGATTATGAGACTATTCATTAGCGACTCCCTTGAACACTCAGTTGCTCCTAACAGGTTATTCGCTGATTATTCAGTGAACATAATTCATTAGAATCTGCTCAGGTTCTGCAAGAGAGCCTTGGATATTTCGCCGAGCAGATTTCTTTTTGCTTTTCCTCTTTGCTGAGGCAAAGCTTTGTGTGTGTTTTTAATACGGTCAAGGACGTAACCCCTAAAGGCAGTGAAGTAACATAGCAATCCGACATTGACGTACACATAGAGGGCGTTTGCTTTCTAGCTGTTTACGTTTAAAACCTCAGTCCCAAAATGTGCTGTTCAATGACTCTTAATTGTTTTGTATTTGGCGCGTGTGATTAGGGCTGTTGTGGGCTGTTTGCGTGCACGTCCTTGTCCATCTCTCTGTTTACCATGCACTATTCTGCAGGCGCAAAAGAAAGACAGACACACAAAGGCCTTTAATAACGTCCTTAATATGGACTGCAGTGGGAGATTCAGCCTCTAAAGCTAACAACGACCTTCTACTGAAGGAGAGATTTTCAAACAAACACGTTGCTGATGTGCAGATAGGATGGTATCTCTCTCTTTCTATTTCAGTCTGTGCACGACTATATCACATTATCTTGCATGGTTCAATTTGGTAATGGATTCAACACGTAGGCCGAGACGATTAAAAAACTACGTCCCTGGTCCCATGAAGGCCGTTCACAGAGAACAGGTGATAAGTGGAGTTCAGCCCAGCACCTTCCGTGGCCGACTGCTGAAGTCTGCCACTCTTTTTTTCATCCTGGTAACTGCAACTCAGGGCCATCCCTCTGCACCAGACAGCCAGCTCGCTCCCATCGCACTACAATGCAACTAGTATGTGGCCACGGGCGTCTACGCCTCGATAAATATGCATGGATGCCTCAGAGAAGATGTAGTTATTTCCACCGTTTTGTGTGGGAGTGTAAATTTATGTGCGTAATCCCTGTGTAGTATCTCAATGCTCCTGGTAAAAAAAATGAGAATGAATATTCACACATGTGTGAACTGGCACGCACACACACGGTTTGATCCCTTTAAAGTCAATAAACACAGATACAGTGGTACTGCCATCTCTGCACGGCCTGCTTGTGCTGATGCAACCTCTGAGCAGCGGCTGGATGAGCCAGGCCTCAAATTATGCAACATACAGTATGCGCACGGTGACTTCTTCCCCTGTAGAGTAACGGATACCGCTAAATCTTTTTCATATGGGAGCAGGCAAGGTTAAGTGATTTCTCTCTCTGGCTACACCAAAGTGGTTGAAAAGTTATGACTTCACCGATTTGCAATAACTTGTTAACTCTCTTCCTTTTATTTTCTAAAAATGGTTCCTCCCGTTAACTGCTACAGGCAGGATTATAGCGGTGGAGACCTGTAGGACTCTGGTGGGTGTAAAAGCGAATATATATCAATATAATTGGTGGTGATCTTGGACAGCAAAGTCACAACCTTCTTCCCTGGACTGGCGATGTCATTAGATGTCACAGGTGAAGTGACACAGAATTGGTGTCTAAATCTGTGGCCGCCTTTACTCTTCTAGCTGTGAATAAGGAAATGTCCCTGTGTCCCAGTGAAATTGATTGTGGGTGCCGTCAACGAGTCCCACAGGAGTTGTTCCATTATTCGCAGTCTACAGAGACGCTCTGGGGGTCTGTGCCTGCCTGGATGACATCATCATCATCACTGTCTGTCGACTAAGCATTACAGAAATAACTCTCTCTTGGGTCTTCTACTCGTGGATTTGATTTAAAATCTCAAAAGAAAGACCACGTGTAGAACTGTTTTGTAATAAAAAAATAAACCAACATAGCTAACAACATAGCTGGTAGGTTTTTAAATGAAATATAACGTTCTAATACTGGGCTTGTTAAGCAATGGTGCCGAAACAGAATCAGTGTGAACCTGACTGTACATTTTGAATCAAACTTAGCAGATCTCAAACAGAGCTGACAAATTCAGACCAAGTGGCCCCTTCTTAGACTTGTTTGGTCAGCCACAGTGATGCTAATACAAAGATTGATGCACGCAGGTTACAACTGACATAATCTTATTGGAGATTTCACACCGACTGTCAGACCTGGTGAGCGTCAAAGCCAGAGATTTCAGCATCTACATTCTGCTCTCAACTCCTTGCAGCCTGTAATTTTACAGGAGCTTGAATGCCGGAGTCGTCTCCTGTTGATCCATTTAAATTGTGCTGTGGAAAATCCGCACATTTTTCACCTTCAGTTCAGATTACCGCACTTTAGTGTAAAATGTAATCACTAGTCTGTTGGTGAAGCTCCTACCATTCTTTACAGGCCTTTACAGAACATCTCCTTACCTTGATATCAACAAATGCATGCATTAGCTGTCCAAGGTTTGGACCCACTTGAATGAAATGAACAAAGCCCTTAATTCACCCCGATTCCCTCCTGCAATGTGCTCTTATTTCTACCGTTGGTTACTGATACAGGAAACGTCTTAACCGAAGGTATGTATATTTATTTTCTATACAGTAAAACAGGCTACACTATATCACATGAGAGCTAGTGTTTCACACGGACAGAAATCCTCCAAGACCAAAACAGGAGCGCCCCCCCTCCCCGGGGGGGTTACGCTGTATTAACGCAGTGCAGTGTGGCTAGCTCAAGTCATAGCCTGTGGGGCACGTAAAGAAAAATGTGTAAATAGACGTCACTCCCCTGTACAGCGTTTTGACACATACAATAGTTCTCTGCTGCTATTACAATGCTGAATATACACCCCCTTCCATGTTTGTATGTTTTTTTTTAATGATACGTTGCCTTTTATTATATCACCTAGATAAGAAACTTGCTGAACAAATGTTGATGATGACCTTCATGCTGTAAAATAGTCTTTGGTCAATGCTTTGAATTTAAAGCACAGATAATGGAAGGATATTAAAGAGAAGAAGCAAATCATTCAAACCCTTAATTCAACATTTTCAACAGCAATATTCATTATGAACATGTAAGTTTAAGTGTTAATTTGGGTAGTTGAGCCTATTATTTCCCATTCAACTCATCGCACTGCAGTAGTGATTAGCTCTGTTTACTGCAAAGACATGAAGCAACAGTAATTATACCAGCATGAAAATGTTCCCACTTCGGCAGCTCTCGGTTTTGTTATCAACTTGCTGTGCTTAAGAGAAGCGGCAAGCCAATTTGTCTTCTCTGTAAAAATATAATTGTGAGTAGACTTGAAACGGTATTTTAAGAAAGGTGGATGTCATTTCTGTTACGGATTCTCTATTGAGCTCAATATCGTACATCTTGTACTTTACATGAAAAGTAAAAACATTGGTCATTACAACAATGCTATTGATGTATTTCAAAGGTTATTTGCTGCCATATTTCTAGGTTATCAATTCATACTGCAGATCAAGACCACAAATGCCGGTATGCGTGTGGTATGCATGTTGTATTTTTGAATGGACA